GAATGAGGGCCACTCTACTTGTACAAGGAAGGACGCATACATCATTGCTCTAGCGCGGGGACTCCCTTCAAGAGAGCGGTGGTAAGAGGGAGCCTTACTGTACGTCAAAGTTAGAGGAGTTTTCAGCTGTACGACACGAGATTCAATAATTCAACTAACCATAAAAGCGGAAACCTAACTACTTAACTTAAAGTACAGCTGAGTGATTACCTTGGGCGTAGAAAGTTTCAAAACTCAATTACACCTTCTCTCTGTGATTTTTTTTCGCTGATGTTTCAAATGTTGATCTTACTGAACTCGGGCGTAGTGGTTGTTGTTATACGAGACTTGCGCATTTGTGCAAATCGTAAACATTACTTCTGGTGTTTATGGACGATGATGAGCGCTATCGTTGACGTGGATCAACAACATTTGCAGATGGGGGAGGGGGGACATCTGTTGAAGACACAATAACTTTGCGGTGGGAAATACCCACACAAATAACACAAAGCCAACTCACAAACAAAGCTATCTGGGACATCTTAATATAAACAATCAGCGCCAGAGATTCATCCAAATTGTTCTGGGATACGATTGTAATTGATATTTTCAGGGGCGACTGCACAGGACCCTCAGTTCGGTACGTGTCGTGCAACTTGGATCCATGTCCTGATGGAACGGATTTCCGTGCTGAACAATGCGCTGCTCATAACGACGATCCAATCGACGGACAGTACCATAAGTGGTTACCGTACAAGGGCAAAAACAAGTAAGTTATTCAGGAAAGCTCAGATGTACTGCTCAGCCATCCTATGCACCAGATTGCTTGTTGACATCAAAGATCGAGATCGTTTATCGGGGAATGGTTACATCATAAATACTTCTCAAATTACCACTTCATGGTGTAGCCATTACGAAAGATCGCTGAGCTTCTGGTGTCAGCGTCTGGCGACGGAGCACTGGCCATATCGAAATCGATACAGAGTTGATACAAGAGAATAACTACAGTAGTCAGCATACCACTCAAAGGGATTTGACGCAAATTGCCCTATTTCAGGTGCGAGCTTCTGTGTAAACCCGAGAATGGCAACTTTTACTATAAATGGGATGACACCGTCGTTGATGGAACCAAGTGCGATTCCAAAGGCGAAGACATCTGCGTCGATGGCGTCTGTTTGCCACTTGGATGTGATGGGAAACTCGGATCAGGTACAAATTACGATCGGCTGCTGCCACACAACCAAATGATGCATGCGAGCATTCAAAAGAATAATGAAAAAAGCGAATTTGCGCTTTTTACGTACTAGTGCTGAAACGTATATTATTCCTAACGTTTTCTATGGAACTCCTTGAACGGTTGAAATCAGATCGTCACGTTGCCCACGGCAGCACCTTCCGGTTGCCAAAAAAATTTTCGACTCTTCCCCCTAACTCCCTCCTGGCTGGCAGCGCGGCAGAAACTACTGCTTTTGATGGGTGACGAGAGTCGCACCAGTGGTGGAAGTTTGGTGGAGTTGAATCATAGTGACACCGTTCATTTCACCATTGAGGTACCCACGAATGCAGTGTGAAGAGCTGATCCTAACCATAAAATAGGATAAAAGATAAAGTGTTCGTCGTTAATCAATGCCTTGGGACCGGCCGATGTACAAGTCAGTGTTCTTGCCTCCCAGACGAAACCCTAAATTGTACAGACAAAGGCTAGTACCAATCTACCATCCCCAGAACGAAAAAGGTATGGCTGGTCTGAACGCGAGTCGACCCGGGATTTCAACACAGGACCGCGCGGTCAGCGCGCCACTTGTCAATGTACCACCTCCGCCTCGTCGCCATTGCTAATACAAGAACTTTCTAAGGGAGGTCCTATGGCAAAAGA